TCCCCCACTTAAGGGCGGATTTCAGATGCCCTAAAAAGTCCAAAAACAACCCACTCAGGGTGGGCAGAGGGGCGACCAGGAACGAGGGCATGAAACAAAAAAACAAAAACACAGTTCAAACACAAAACAATCCACCAAAGGTGGGCGAGACCAAGCAAAGTCTCTGGAAGCCAGCTGTTAGGCTGGGCGTGAGGCAGGGTGATGAAAGAGGACCTGACGGCGACGAAAAAGGACCTCTGGAGTCCAGCCGCGACAGAGGACCTCTGGAGTCCGGCAGTGAGGACGACGACCAAAGAGGACCTCTGGACGCCGGCAGTGAGGACAGCGACGAAAAAGGACCTCTGGACGCCGGCGGTGAGGACAGCGTCAAAAAAGGACCTCTGAAATCTGGCTGCGAGGACGGTGACAGATGACCTCTGGAGTCTGGCAGTGAGGATGGCGACGAAAGAGGACGTCTGGACGCCGGCAGTGAGGACGACAATGAAAAAGGACCTCTGGAGTCCGGCCGCAAGGACGGCAACGAAAGAGGACATCTGGACGCCGGCAGTGACGACGGCGACAAAAGAGGATCCCTGGAACTCCAAATAATTATTTCCAGCTGCTTTAGGATGTAAAGAGAAATGTTTTTCTGTACATCAGAACATGCATTCAATAATGTTGGCTGCCCCCATTTTTTCAATTTCTATTTGTTTTGCACAATGAGTTTCATTCATACTTCAGATTTACTGAAATATCCAGAAACCTGCCAGTATGTTGAAATGTTTTCACATAACCCTCAGTCCCACTGTCAATGGATAAGGGGCAGGATTTATGTTACAAATCTGTTACAGAAATCTTACATGAGAAAACAAGGAATAAAAAGGTACATGGAGCTTTTTAATGTAATAGAATACTCCAAATTAAGCTGAAAACCTAAAGGATATTTGAAGAGTGATCATTTATGTTTTTTCTAAAACAATTTCACATCTAAAGTACATTTCTGATTCTTAGTAACCCAGAGAGTGATGGAATGATGCTTTTTTACATTTATTTTATTTATCTATTCATTGTAGGCAATTACATGCATTGAAACAAACTAGTGAATGCCAGTTCATCAATACAACCTTATGAGTCCTAAATAAAAAAAAAAAATGTTTAGGTATACTTAAAAAAAAAGTTAACTCCAGTGAAGAATATGATACATTTGTAATACTTTGTGCTAGTATAATACGTGAGCTGAAGTCTTCTTACACACCAGACATGTGTTGTCATCATGTGCTCCTTGCTTGGATCCCTGGACCAATGATTTCATAAGGGTAACCTGTTAGTTGTTCCTAAGAAAGGCGTTGTTTTGAAAGCAACGTCCCCAGGCAGTCTATGCATAATCATTCCATGGTACTTCAAGCGAGGTAATGGTTTCCAATGAATTTGTTACATTTCCAGACCGGAAATGTTCTCAACCATTTGTGTATATATAGGGTTTGGTTCCATAGAGGCAACATTGCTTCAAATCCTCAGAGGAACCTTCTGGACTCTTTTGTAGAGGTAACATGCATTTTTCTTTATATTCTAAATATTTCTTTATTTAAGGGTATTTCAGACTAGAATAATCAGTTTAGATAAGACACTTTTTAAATCAACTGCTATGTGTAGTTCTACTGTTAGGCATCATGATGCTGCAACTAAATGGTTTTAACATGCAGATTAATCTATTGGTAGTGATTCTAAATGTATTAATGCACTCTCTCCCCAGAAGTGACTTATTGCCAAGAGTAAAAATGGGGACCTATGAGGTAAAGGTGTATACTGCTGGAGGAATTTTCCCCCAAACCAAGGACTACATATATATGAGGCTGGTGGGGGAAGAAGGAGAAAGTGACTCAACATGGATTTCTGAAAAGGTTGTATACCTATCTCTATGTGAAAATCATTTATAAGTGATGTCTTGATGTCTTTTTTTGCATCTTATCTACACCATTCTCTTAAAATTCACAGTGTGAGATAAAAACCGATAAATCTCTTGGAAAATTGCAACAAATAGTGATTCACAAGGAGACTTCATTTCATTTACTTCCTGACGACTGGTTGCCGGCAAAAATAGAAGTCAAAACTCATAAAAATGAAACCTACATCTTCCCCCTGTACACCTGGATTACTGATGATGGGAAACACTACTTCAGAGAGGGTCAAGGTTTGTGCAAATTCGATCATCTTACGCATCTTATTGCTATAAACCACATATGTCCAATGATTCTACCATAAGGCTGATGCATTAATACAGATCATTTGTCCAATGACAAAAGAATTTATCTCTCCTAAAGAAGCGCAGGCAAAGTATGAGTTTAAAACAGATATATAGCTATAAATGACTTAATTTTATCGCCATCACACAAGCTGTCCTTCTTGGGCACCATTGAATTGCAGCATGTGGTCTTAATTTAGCTAAATATTAGTTCATAAGGCAGGCGGTCATGCTCTTGTTATGGGTATGAAATATCTATTCACGTTTATATTGAGAATTCAGAATTGAGACTCAGTTTGCTGCTCTCTCTCCTTCCTCAGCAAATACCACACAGAGCAAATAGTTGTATAAAAAACTGGAAGAAGAGAAGAGTTAAAGTTGCTAGAGTCCATCAGGAAGAGGGGGTGGGGGGGGGGGGGGGATGGGGAGAGTGCATCTTTCACCTTAACTCTAAATTCTTGCTGTGTTTGCTTTAGCTTTTATACCCTCTGAGGACCCTTTTGACCCATCCAGTCGGCAGGAAGAGATTAGCAAACGACAAGATGCATATCGGTGAGTGCTGACAGTTGGTATAGAAATTCATTTATGCCAACAAATCCTTCTGGATTACAGTTAAATATTTATACAACTGATTCAATAAGTTTCTATTTCAAAAAAATATTCACTGTGTTTAAACTGCCTTAATGTAAAACAATAAACTGAACAACTAACAAAAACCCAAGGGTAAAAACTTGTTACTTTATTATCTTTTTAGCTGGAAAATATCTGAGAAAGGAATACCTGATCATATCAAAGCAAAAGACATGGATGACCTGCCTAAAGACGCCCAGTTCACATTCAGCAAGGCGGCAGATTTTACGATTGAGGCAATCAAAGGGTTAGTCCTTATTCTCTAGATGTTGGTTGTTCGTCAAACTTTTCTGTCACTTTGCACAAACAGACAGTAATAAAACATCTTGCACATATTGTAATGCATTCATTTTAGTAACAGTGTTTCTTCTAACTTTATAGCCAGGTTTGGGATAAAGTGAAATCCTTCTTTTTCGGTGATAATAAATGGTCTGGTTTTGATGAGATCGGTGACATGATGGACTACAGCAAATATAAACTTCTGGGTATGTTATATTATTATGAATATATATAATACATATATACATTGGCATTTTGTTAATTCCCTATAAAATCATACCCTACCACATGTAAAAATCCATATATGTAAATTCTCTACTTTGTTACAGACTATGTCAGAAACAACTGGAAGGATGATGATTTCTTTGGCTACCAGTTCCTGAATGGTCTTAACCCCATGGTGATCAGACGCTGTGAGACCCTGCCTGACAACTTTTCTGTCACTGATGACATGATCAGCCAGTACAGCAAGGGTCCCTCTAGTCTGGATCAGGAATTGAAGGTGATTTTTTAATGCTAAAA